GGCCTCCAAGCCTCCACTTGGTTTCCCCGATGTAGAGGAGGCCACATCAGGAACAGCAGATACAGTATACCACATTAGCAGATGTGCAGGTGAACATCTATTTGATGTGGAAGGTTTTCTTGGGGCCTGGGATGGGGGTGAATACTGATGCAAAATAATCAATCAGCAAGTCTCAGCGTTCAGAGCCAGTGGTACTCTTAACCAGCCTCTTTCCCTTCATATAACTATAAATTCTTTTCTTATTGTATTTTATGTCCTTGGAAGTTTCCTTTCACCATCCTTTTTAGCTGCTTTATAAGCTGCCTAGTAGTCCTTTGTTAGTCTTTATTTTATCCCATTCTGTGGGATCTGTAATGATCTTTGTATTTTTATAAGCCCTTTCATTTAATTTTATGCTGTCCCTTGCCTCCTTAGCTGTCCGTGGCTGTTTTTTTGTTGAGGGGGGTACATTTTTCTTCTCATGGGTACAAACTACTTCTAAATAGTATATACACTCTCCATTGTTCCTCAATTGTTTTATCTATTAGCAGGGCTTCCCAGTTTATTCGAGCCAGCCTCTGCTTCATCCCAATAAATTCTACCTTACTTGAATCCAAAATTCTAGTATCTGATTTTTGCTTATCTCTTACAAACATTACAGGAAGTTTGATCAAGGAGAAAGAAAGAAAAAGAGTGAGAAATAAAGAAACAGATAATAAGAGTTTCTACTGATATTTTTAGAAGAGTTAACAAAACAAATGATTGTTCCATATAATATGAGCATGGAAAATTAATAAAGGAAAACAAGGAGATGGCAAATGAATTAATCAAGTACTTTCCTATAGTCTTCTTTATACAAGATATAAGTAGCATCCCAGAAATAACTTTGTAAATCAAGAAATAGAAAGAAGAAAGTGAAGAAAATTACAGGGAAGTGGTACTGAGGAAATTGCTGCTGCATTTCATTACAGGGTCTGAAACAAAGCTGATGCATTGGGTTTAAATTTCAAAAATTCCCTACATTTGGGAAAGGTTCCTTTAGATTAGAAAATAATGGGTGCAACAATTTACTCAGAAAGGGGGACAAAAAACATGAAGTGACAGGTCAGTTAGCTTAATACCTGTCATAGAGAAAATGTTGTGAAGCTTCTAGCCACCTCCACCTGACACTCCATCATCGAGCATCACCATCATTGAATTCTCTATTATCAACATTCTGGAGGTGACCAGAAACTGAAGCTTACCAGTCAAATAAATACTATGTCTACAAGGCCTTTGATTAGAAATTTTGCAGGAAATAACTCATCTCTGGTGTCCCCAAGGCATGTTTGGAATGTAATGAAATACTCTCCACTTGCCTGGAGCAGTGCAGATCCAATAATATTGAGAAGCTTGACACTATCCAGCACAAAATAGCCCTCTTAATTGGCACCCCATCCACTCCTATCAATGTCAAATCCTTCAACATTGATACAAAATGGTAGCAATGTAAACAGGTTGCATTGCAGTAACTCACCAAGGCTCTCCTAGCAGCACCCTCCAATCCCCTACTACGTAGAATGACAAGGATGGAAAATAGATGAGAATTCTGTCTCTTGCATGTTCTCTTCTAAACCACACACCAGCCTGACTTAGAATAATATTATTATCATTTACAGTCGCTGGGCCAAAATCCAGGAATAACCCATTTTGTGTGTACCTACACCCCATGTACAGTAACAGTTCAAAAAGCTGGCTCACCATCACCTTCTCCAGGGTAATTAGGGATTGACAACAAATGCTGGCCTGCTTAGAGATGCTCATGTCCTATGAACCCAATTGATGAATGTGCATAAAGAGCTTGAGACATAGTGTACTCACTATTAGGGCTTGGTGTATGCATGGGGAGCTGCACATTAACTTTCTAGGTAGTTACTTATATTTTCCCAACCACCTGTTCAATATTTTTATTTTCCCGGACCATTTTATTTTCACTAAAATATGAAATTGTTTAAACATAGTCAAGATTGATGAAAATTTTCCATAGATTATAGACATTCAGTCCTGTTATCAAATCACTTTCCATTTTGCCTTAACAGGAGCACCTGTGGAACTATCAGGAAGAGAGATAAGGTGTTCATTTATGAACAAAACAAATTTATTTACTGGGTTAATGGGTTATCCATATCTTTGTTTGTTTCAGTATGTAAGATGACTCATGTTACTGAAAGAAAGGCTGTATACTGTTTGAGTACTGAATTTCTTTTGCATCTGCATATGTTAATCACCAAAAGTGATTTTTCAAATTGAAATAACCACAAAAATACTTACAGGTTGTAAATCATTGCATCATTTTTGTATATGGCAATTTCTTTTTCTTTCTATGAAAAAACTCTGCATCTCCCTGCTTCTGTTTTCAAGTATTTGATGACCAGGAGTGCAAACTTTGTTTTACATTTTCTTACACCAAGTTACTTAATGCCTTATACTGAAGACCCTGTTTTCAGTAAATTCAATCTTTTATTATGTATAAAAAGCTGTCAGATTATTGTTAGTCAAGGGGGAACCTTCTGAAACAATAATTTTTGATGGTTCTTTTTTGAGCTGCCATACTCACATTCAAGTGAAGTTATGGATCACAGCATTAGCTGGCCACTCACACCATTAGATTCTAATGTTTGCAGAGATACTAATATCATAGATCATCGAATCCCTACAGCGTGGAAACAGGCCCTTCAGCCCAACAAGTCCACGCCGACCCACAAAGCATCCCACCCAGACCCATTCCCCTATAACCCACCTAATCTACATATCCTTGAACACTGCGGGTAATTTAGCGTGGCCAATCCACCTAGCCTGCACATCTTTGGACTGTGGGAGGAAACCGGAGCATGTGGAGGAAGCCCACGCAGACACGGGGAGAACGTGCAAACTCCACACAGACAGTCGCCGAGGGGTGGAGTCAAACCCAGGCTCCTGGTGCTGTGAGGCAACAGTGCTTACCACTGAACCACCGTGCCATATGGAATAATAACATAAACCCTTAAATACACAAGCCTTAATATAGGATAATAACATAAACCCTTAAATACCCAAGCCAGTGTAGTGTGAACAAATGTTTTATAATCAAGAGTGGAGAGCAGGTAATCCTGTTGCATTGATTAAAATACAAGGTGATTGATTGTCACTCAATAATATAGAAGCTAAATTTCTCTGAGTGGTAAAGTTAGGGTCTGAATCTGCATATTCAATTTTGCTTAATGAAAGGCATCATTTTGTAAAGGATTGTCAGTTAAAACGCTTGGAGGCTTGAAGTGTAGTTTAGTGGCTAACAGCTCCTCCAAAACACTCTCCTAACATTAATCAGCTGATTGAGAGTATATATTATATTGTTGTCAATTTCAAGTGCTTTACCTAAAGGCAGGCAGGTCATGCTGTTTGTATTGTGACGGTGATAGTGGATACACAACACAAGACTTTCAGGAATGCTTGGTCACAAATTCACCAACACTTGAGCAACATTTATTCCAGAAATTGTCTGATGATTTCACCTGGAAAAATAAGTGTTCATTGGACATCTAGGCAGAGTCACCAAGTGAAACAGATTGCTGGGTCATGAGCATCTTGCTAGGGATTCCTTTGGACTGGAGAGAATAGCCTGAGCAGCACTAGATGTTGAAGGAGGAGGGGGCAGGAACTTGAGGAGGCCTCCTTCTCTTCCTTCTCTTATTGTCTCTGAACATACTCTTCCATCTTCTTCAGCACTATGTCTGAGAACCTGCGAACACTCTGCCTCAATCCCGAGACGATAGAAACTGTTGTTTCGTCAGTCAGTATTCTCCACACTATCAATAATGTGGATGTATGGAACCCACATAAACCACTAATATATTACACATTAGACCATAGAATACAGGCGTAAAATTAGGCTAATTGACTCACCAAGCCTAATCTTCCATTTAATCATGGGTGATATGTTTCTCAACCCCATTCTCCTGCTTTCTGCCCATTACCCTTGATCCCCTTATTAATCAATGACCTATCTATCTGTCTTAAATACACTCAATGACTTGGCCTCCATAGCCTTCTGCAGCAATGAGTTTCATAGATTAATCACCCTATAGCTGAAGAGCCATACTCTGAGACTGTGCCCTCGGCTCCTCTCTCTCTTACTTGTGGAAACATCTTCTCCACATCCACTCCATCCAGGCCTTTCAGTGTTCTGTAACTCTCAATGAGATCTCCACCTCATCCTCTAAACTCCATCGATTACAGATGCTGAGTCCTCTACCACTCCTCACAACAATAAGTTACTAATGCATCTTTTCTACATTACACACCTATACTTTTGATAAACCCCTCAAAGACTGCTCCATGTAAATTGCATTAAAACAGCACCTGATGCTGATTCCACTGATCTTGGATTAAGCACCTCCAGAGGTCCAAATTGGTCTCTTACCACAGTAAAAATATGAGAGTCCAGAGGAAATAAGTTCAGCTATAATGTACTGGCAAAGTGGGACAACAGCACTGAAGCAAGACATGGACAATATCCAAGCATGTGCTAATAAGTAGCAAATAGCACATGCCACACAATACCATTTCAAGACAGTGCTGAATATTTGAAAGAAATATTTGAATTCATACATTGTCTTTCCTGACCTCAGCATGTTTCAAAATGCTTCACAATCAATGAAGCACTGTGCTTTTAATGATATTTGCAGTTAAAAGACCTTTTAATGATATTTGCAGTTAATGGCCCCATCACTGTTTCTTGCATGCCACTGTTCTCCCAAAGGTAAACTGAGTGCTTGGGAGAAAAGCATCAAAAGAAAGATGATGAGGCAGCAAGTGCTGAAAAAAATGGAAGGATTGGGCTATAAAGGGGGGGTGGCAAGAGAGGGGAAGGTGGAAAGCTGTGACCTTACTTATTTATTAACCTCTGGGAATTTTACACCAGGCAGTAATAGGTGAGTTCTCAGAATATAGCCCAGTCTGGCAATGGGCCCAGTGCTTCAAAGCTGCAATGTGATTTGTCAGCTCTGTGAATTAAAGAATAACGCCCGAGGATAGGAATTATTCTGTGAATCACCCCAGCCTCATCATGATGTTACGTCTTGTGATTCTGTCTGTGCTCCTGAATTCAGCTGCTTCAGGAACCCTCAAAGAAAGTGAGTATCTGTTCCTCTGCACAACACTAACACTTTGGCATTCCTGCCTCTTTTTTTGCTCAATGCATCAATCTGTGAATGAGACATGAATTCCTCAATTTCAGAATTAACTTTGGAGCACTGCTATTTGGCTCCTGAGCAGAAGAAAGTATAGGTTGTAGTCCGCAGTTGCTTACAGCACTTGTGTCTCAAAATTACAGGTCAATCACCAGGAAGTTAATTGTTGCTTAGTCTCATAAGCAGAACAGGAGAGTTGAATCATTTTTATGATTCTCCTCTAGGTTTTTTTTAAAAACATTGCTTCGTTTTGTTTCCTCTTCAAAGTAGGTGGTAGTTTGTTTCTACAAACCTTGTTGTGAAGTCCAATCAAAACATGATCCACAATAATTATTTTTCGGGTAAAACACACACACACACACACACACACACACACACACCTGAAATAAGAACAGAAATTGCCAGAGCAACTCAGCAGGTCTGGCAGCATCTGTGGAGGGAAAGCAGATTTAGCACTTTAAGTCCAGTGTCCTTTCTTGGAGCTGTGAGAATTTTTTCCAATTGTCTGGTCTTCAGGATTCCTTTTTTTCAAAGAAGCTCAGGTAGCTTGCAGTTTAATTGAAGCAATATATTTACTGTGGAAATTTTGGCACAAGATGAATTTCTTTCTGGAAATCAGAATTCTAGGGAGATTGAGAGTAAGAGGTAAGCTTTGGACAAGCTCAAGCTGCGTTTTTGTTTTGACTGTCCTGATGTAGCAGCAGACTGAAAGAGAGAGGTTTAAACTCTATAATTAAATGCTATTCAGTAATTCCAGTCATAAGACCGACTCAACTGAGACACAACTAACAAGATGACTGTGATGTCCCATCAAAACCCATTGCGTAATTTAGAAAATAATGACAGAGCCCATTAACACCATCTCATACAGAGTATAGCTGAATGGTTTCCTTTGCTTTACATTGACTGTTCATTGCATCTTGTTATTCTGTGTAGGGTTGCCTGGAATATCTACATAAATGAGCATGATGATGATCCAGGATGATTATGTGAGCTTTTGCCACCTGGATATTGCAGATCAGAACTTTACAGAAATGATTTTCTGAAACTTTTTTTTAAAAGAAGCTTTAACAAGAGAATATAGTGTTGAAAAATTAATTTAGGCTCGCTCTCTCTCCATATGTATTTTGGTTTGACATTCCTTCATGGGTCAAGGACAAAATGGAAATATCCATTAATTGGCAAACTTGCCCTCATCAGTCAAACAGAAGTGTAACAGACGCAAAGTCAGTGCTCCGCTGCATTCTGAGGGTCTATACTTGGGCAACAGCCAGTATGCATGTTTAATTTTATAAGGTTGCAACTGTCAAAAGTGGTTGCGATCTGTGTAAAGCAGGATCGCTCTTGGGCCCCAGAGTGAACAGAGATTTCAAGTCGCTGGCAAGCTAATTGGAGACCCATGATTATGTTTTCTAACATGGAGTACCTTCCTCTTTGGTGATAGCAAGAACTGCAAATGCTGGAAGACAGAGTCAATACAGTATGGAGCTGGGGGAACACAGGAAGTCATGCAGCATTAGAGGAACAGGAAAGTCAACATTTTGGGTTGGGACCTTCATCAGGACTGGGGTAACTGAGCTCCCTTCCCCCTCCCCAGTCCAAATGAGGGGTACTAACCCAAAACGTCAACTTTCCTATTCCTCTGATGCTGCCTGACCTGCTGAGTTCCTCCAGCTCCACACTGTAATGACTCCACTTTCCTCTTTGGTGTTTGTTCAGAGTGTATTTGAGATATATCGTTGGGACACTTTGAGTCATCCTTTTCTAGTAGGATGGATGTTGCCCCTAAGATCATTGGTTTGTATGGCACCCTGAAGCGTGTCCTGAGGTCTGTAGGTAAGAAACAACTTTCAATTATGTAAGAAGTCTCTTGATATTCCTCTATTCATACAAGCCACGATTTGTTTTTGTCAGTATCTGGCTGACACGAGCTCTGCAGGGCAACTAGATGCTCACCCAGACACTTATATGCGCATAATTCCAAACCCTGAACATTGTTGTGCCATGTAAAAAGTCCGCAATGCCCATGTTCACAGGCCAGGAGCAACATTGAAATAGGACGGAAAGGGGTAGGGTGGTGGTGAGGTCTGATTTTAGCCAGGGATGCTTGGGGAGGCAGGGGAAAAGAGATCAGAGTGAGTGAGGGACAACCCCATCTCTCCCATTCAACTCAATTCTTCCCCATACATTCCCATTCATCCCCATCTACTCCCATCTTCCCTGTCCATCTGTTGTGTGCTCTGCTTCACTGCGACTTGGCTCACCCCTGCCATTTCCCACTGCACCTTACAAGCTGGTGGGTTCACCATACACCGCATGGACTGCACGGCTTTCCCGGGTAAGGCAAAGGGTGGTGGGGTATGCTTCTTGATCAATACCGCCTGGTGCTTTGATGTAGCGATCCTGGCAAGCCATTGCTCCTCGGGCCTAGAATATCTTACTTTCTACCATGAGAAATCCTGGTATTTCTCATGGTAGAAATCCTGACAGCAGTCTACATACTACTCCGTGCAGATGTGAAGAATGCCCAAGATGAGTTTTACACCACCACAAACACTCCAGAGACAAAAATTCCCTGAGGCCCTATTCATTGTGGCCGGCAACTTCAACCAAGCTAACCTCAAGCTGGTGATGCCAAAGTACCACCAACACATCTCCTGCCCCACCAGAGGACTGAACATTCTGGACCACTGCTAGACAACCAAAGACATCTACCGCTCCATCTTCCACCCACATTTTGGAAAATCAGATCATGGCACTGTGTTCCTCCTCCCAGCTTACAAGCAGAAGCTGAAATGGGAGAATCCTTCATGAAAAGAAGTACAGTGCTGGTCCGTGGCAGCGGAAGACCATCTCCAGACTGCTTGGAATTAGTGGACTGGACCATGTTCAAGTGTTCAGCAGAATACCCTGACAAGTATGCCACCACAGTCATGGACTTCATTAGCAAATGCGTGGAGAACTGCATACCAAAGAAGTCAATCTGAATGTTCCCCACCTGTAAACCTTGGATGAACCAAGAAGTCCACTCCCTACTGAAGACCAGACGTGCAGCTTTCAAGTCAAATGACCCAGACCAACACAAGAAATCCAGATATGACCTTGGCAAGGGATGCCAAGAGGCAGTAACAGACAAAGTTAAATGCCCAAACCTACCAAACAGACTCCTGCTCCCTATGGCAAGGCCTAAACGATATTACAGGATACAAAATGAAGCAGTGTAAGATAGCAGACAAAGACACATCCCTCCCTCACACGCTTAATGCTTTCTATGCTCGGTTTGAGCAGAATGCCAGTGGCACAGTCATGCCTGCCCTGACAGCTCCCGGCCACATCTGTTCCCTCCGTCACCACTGCAGAAGTCAGATTGATCTTCCTAGGAATCAACTCAAGGGAAGTGATGGGCCTGGACAGTGTCCCAGGCTAAGCACTCAGATCCTGTGTAGACCAACTGGTGGAGGTATTTACCGACATCTTCAACCTCACCCTCCTACAAGCTGAAGTCCCCACCTGCTTCAAGAAGACCACCATAATTGCTGTGCCTAAGAAATCACATGAAATGTGCCTTAATGACTACCACCCAGTGGCTCAGTCCTCAATAATCACGAAATGCTTCGAGAGGCCGGTCATGGCCTACATCAACTCCAGTCTCCCAGCCCATCTTGATCCCCTACAATTTGCCTGCCGACATAGCAGGTCCACAGAGGATGCCATATCCCTAGCCCTGCACTCATCTCTGGAACATCTGGACAACAATGACACCAACGTCAGACTCCTGCTTATTGACTACTGCTCCGCTTTCAAAACCATTATCCCCTCTAGACTGATCTCAAAACTACGTGACCTTGGTCTCAGCTCAGACCTCTGCAACTGGATCCTCAGCTTTCTGACCCAAAGGCTGTAATCAGTGAAGATAGGTAACTGCACCTCCTCCACAATAACACTGGAGCCCCCCCCAAGGATGCGTCCTCAGCAACCTACTGTACTCCCTGTACACCTACGACTGTGTTGCCAAATTCTGAATGAAATCCATCTACAAATTCACTTACAACACCACTGTCATGGGACAGATATCTAACAACAGAGAGTCAAACTACAGAAGGGAGATAGAGGGCTTGGTGACATGGTGCAATGAAAACAAATCTGTCTCTCAATGTTGGCAAAACTAAAGAACTGTTCATTGACTTCAGAAAGGGAGGAGGAGAATATGGCCCATTGACATCAACAGAACTAAGATTGAGAGAGTGAAGAGCATCAAGTTACTCGGAGTGACGATAACCGACGACCTGTCCTGGACTTCCCATGTAGATGTGGCAGTCAAGAAGGTAGAACGATGCTTCTTCTTCCTCAGGCAGCTCAGGAAACTTGGTATGTTCATAAGGTCCCTCACCAAATTCTACAGATGTACCATTGAAAGCATAACGTCTGGGTACATGACGGCCTGGTTTAGCAACTGCTCTGCCCAGGACTGTAAGAAACTACAGAAGGTGCTATGCACAGCCTAGACCATCACAGAAGCCGACCTTCCATCCATGGACTCCATTTACACGACTGTAATGATCTCCTGCAATCTCTTCTGTCAGGCAGAAGGTACAGAAGCCTGAACACATGCACCAGCAGGTTCAGGAACAGCTTCTTCCTGGCTGTTATCGGACTGATGAATCAACTCTCTAACCTCAATGCTGATCTTGCTCATGTTGATCTCGCCTAGTGCACGCCCTGTGCAATGTAACCTGTATGCCGCTGTCTAAGTCATAGAGTCAAGAGTAATACAGCATGGAAACAGGCCCTTTGGCCCAAACTGGTCCATGCTGACCATGGTGCCCACTCAGCTAGTTCCAATTGTCTGCTTTTGGTCCATATCCCTCTAAACCCTTCTCATCCATGCACCTATCCAAATGTTTTTTAAATGTTGCTATTGTGCCTGCCTCAACCACCTTCTC